CTGTATGGTTTGAGTCCCAGACTTGGTAGCTTGGGATACACACTGGGTACATGTGTGTGCCTGCCCAAAATCCTGAGAGGAGAATGGAGGAGAAGGGATTGTGACATGGCCATGCCCCCAGGAGGTGCTTCCTCATTTTCCCTTTACCCTTCTCTCTGTTTCTCTCCAGTGAGCACATGTGCCCTATAGCAAAATTAAAAAGTGGAGGGGGCCGGCCTGTGGTATGGTAGTTAAGGTGGCTGGATCCCACAAGGCTGACTCTACAGGATGTGTCCCAGACCTAGCAGCTTGAGAAACTCGCTGTGCACATGTGTGTGCCTGCCCAAAATCCCAAGAAGAAAAGTACAGGAGAAGGAACTGGGGCATGGCCATTCCCCATAGGAATGCTTTCTTATTCTCTCTCTCTCTCACTCTCTTTCTTGTGAGCACCTATGCCTGTGGCCAAAATTAAAATTTAAAAAAAAAAAAGAGAAGTAATAGTAGTAGAGGAGGAATTTTATAGGAAAGTGAGTAATAAAGGTGGACAAAGAATTGCAAGTGGGTAAGAAATCCATCAACAGTGAACCATCGATGGTATTGACAGACAATAACCGCAAGAGTGCCAGCCCTCTAGCACAGTGCTTAAGCTGTGCATTGAGAGCCAGATCCCACCTGGCCAACTGTGGTTCAAATCCCAGCCCTGGAAACCCTGGTGGTTGAAAACCATACTGGACACTTGAGCATGCAGCCCAAAATCCTGATGGAAAGGAGAAATAGATGAAAAGGATTGCACCATTACCACACCCCACTCGGGGAGGCTTTCTCTCTCTCCCTTTCTCTCTCTCTCTCCGCCTGGTTTGCACAAATGTCCTCTGACTCTGAAATAAACAAACAAACAAACAAATAAATAAATCTATCTAGAAGAAGGTTAAACCTCTTGATCCAAAGTACAATTTAAGGGGCCTGCAGACGGCATGGTGGTTATAGCGCTGGACTCCCACATGACTGACCATGGTTCATATCCTGGACCTGTTGGCTTGCTGTCTGACTTTCTCTCTCTCTGGTCTAATTAAAATAATAAAATAAATAACATAATTCTTTCCCCCAAATACAAATTAAGAGCTTTTATTTTTGCAATTTCCCGGAAGGCATGTGCACATGCTGGAGTAGAGGAGGAAGTAACAACCAGCTCCTTCTTCCCATGGGAATGGTCTCATTGCAGTCCCTTCTCTCCTGCCTCTGCCTCCTCCTCCAGGGATTTTGAGCGCGCGCGCACACACACACGCACACACATGCCTGCCCTCTTTTTCAAGCCTCCTGGTCCTGGACATAAATCGTGCCATCAGCCATGTGGGATCCAGCCATGTGAACCCCTTTGTCACTGGCTGGCCCAAGAACATATTTTTTAAATGTCTCCCATATATTTGGTAATGACTAAATAGATTATGTTAGTAAAGAAAAACTAAAACACTTGTGGATTACTCTTTTTAGTGTGATCTTTTTTATTTTTACTTAAGAGTTTATTTTATTCATGATAGAGTACATGGCAAGAATGAGGAGGGAGGGGCCTGGACAGGTCTCCTCCCACCCATCTTCTC